CTGAGTCCTGGGGAGACCACAGATACGCTCCAACAGCTGGAGCAGCTTTTCCATAAGCCAGGCTGAGAGCTGGGAGTGTCCAGCCTGGAGAAGGGAAGGCTTGGGGAGACCTTAGAGCTCCTTCCAGTGCCTAAAGGGGCTCCAAGAGAGCTGCAGAGAAACTTGGAACAAGGGTCTGGAGGGCCAGGACACAGGGAATGGCTTCCCACTGCTAGAAGGCAGGGCTGGATGGGATATTGGGAAGGAATTGTGTCCTGTGTGGGTGGTGAGGCACTGGCACAGGTTGCCCAGAGCAGCTGTGGCTGCTCCATCCCTGGGAGTGTTCCAGGCCAGGTTGGATGTGGCTTGGAGCAACCTGGGCTAGTGGAAGGTGTCCCTGCCCATGGCAGGGAGTGGAACTAGATGGTCTGTATGGTCTCTTCCAACCCAAAACAGTCTGGGCTGTTGTATATTTTGGGTGTGATGGACGAGGGCAACGCAGTACCACCAGCCAGGACTTTGTACACTCACACCCTGTAGGCTCCAAACAGCTGCAGGAGGAGAATTGATGGTATTGATTTGCCCTTTGGGTGAAAACATCCAACTCTGGGATTCACAGGGGGCACGAAATACATTTGGAGAATCAAATTCCTCCTGTGTGCACAGGAATGCAAAATGCTCATGTATCCTGTCTGTGCCAATTGCTGCAGCATTGATACCAGGAAATCGGTACAAGAGGAGAAACGTGCCAGGGCTGTGCCCTGAGGGCACTGTGCTGCCCCCTGACACTACAGGCTGCAGGGGGGAGCAGGTACCCAGGGCTGGGGAGTGCTGCTGGGAAGACAAAATATCTGCTGAAATCTCCATGGTCTGAGGGTGTCTGTGAGCTCTGGAGGGAGGATTTTACCTTCTGAGATACATATGGCTTTAGAAACATGCCTTTACCTGAACATTGATGTTTCTGCAGAAGCAAAGGCTGAACTCCACAGACAGAGGCAGTTCAGTGTTGCTTCACCATGAGCATTCCTTTGTCCTGCACTGCTGCTCCAGCCCTGACAGCATCCTTTGAGCTCCAGCACCGTAGTTCTGTGGAGCAGGAGGCTGTGGAATGTGCTGGAAGGTGTTTTGCTGAGTCCTGTGCCCTTTGCTGCCTGTCTGCTCGCAGAGAGAACTGCACAAGCATTTGCACAGATGAGTTGGACAAGGCCTTCATTCCAGTCCAGAAGGAATGGGCAGTGGAGCTGCTGAAAGCAGCATCTTCTCTCCCCCTGCTGTGTTCACTGCTTCATTAGGAAATTATAATTAGAAAAACATCAAATTATCATTGTGAGGTGGGGGTGCAGCCCAGCCTTGGATGAAGAGCCTAAGGGTGTTTTGCATTCTGGAGAAGAGGCTGTTTTGTACTTCTCTGTATCGAAATCAAAGCATGCGAAGTTCATCTGAGGCTATGAGAGCACTCAAGCTGTCATCGCAGCACCTGGGAGGGGTGAGAAGGGTGATTCCTTAGATTCTGGTGGTAAAACATCTCTTGTCAAACTCCCAGATCTAACAGTTCTGCATTTCTCATGCAATTCCTTTCCCAGTTTTTATATGCTATATAGAGACTGATTACATTCTGTGTATAAGACAGGTTGATTCCATCACAATCTGAAAGGGGTGTTGGCCACCGTGTGATTTAATAAGGGTTACCATAAAAAATGTAGTTAACTTGTTCATACCTTTATGTGGGGAAACATCCAGAAGAAAGAGAGGTCTATGTCCAACCACCAGTGTTGTAACCTTGGTACTGCCCAGACTTTGGCCATTTCAGTGGGGAAAAGAGTGAGGCAGCATACATGTAAAGAAACAAGATGGGTGCACTTACACTGAGGGCTCAGATTTTTTACCTGGTAGTTCTGAATGACGATGAAAATCAGACATTCTTTCCCACATTCAAAACAATAACAAAGCAGCTCCACCCAATAGGCATTGCCACCACACCAGGAAGCTTTGTTATGCTGCATCATTAATGTAGACATGAAGGTAACCAAGGATATAATTCCAGTCCTTGAAAATGAGAACTGAAACCGTGCAGTGAACTGTAGGCTCAGTGTCAACCCTCTGTAAAATAATGGTACACTTAATTGTGGACTCAGGGAAGAAGGAGGAACCAGAGATGACTCCTGTGACAATCAGTCAGGCTTTGGGGACAGCAGGCCTGTGCAGACACACCAGCTCCTCCAGGGAGCCAAGTGACCTAGCCAGGTCTGTGCCAGACACTGGGGGTGAGTTTGGGTTGGGAAAGCCTGAACAGCTGCTGCCAGGTTGAGCAGAGGATGGTGTGAGACAGAGTGGGCAGGTCCCTTCTGTCCCTCTTCTTGCTGGGGCCCTAGTTTTTACCTACGAGATATCCAGTTTTAAAGAGGAAATTTGAGGTGCTTCCCACAGTGCTGCTCAGGAGGGAATCACAGAGGGATGTGCACTGAGAACGAGAGGAGCCCCCAAGTACAGATAGTGCTGTAGGAGCACTCAGAACTGGTGTTTTTAACCATGCAGGTGGTCCATGCAGCATTCTCATCCCTTAGTGCCTCCTGTCCCCTCCCTCCAGAGCTGGAGGATAATAGGAATCATGCTTGGGGTGGTAATCACTGCCCAGGGTAAAGGAAATAATGCTGAGCTAAAGGACACAGTGCACACAGTGTTGGTGAGACTCTTGCCAGGCTCTTAGCCCTGTTCCACTGTGTGTTTCAGGGTCATTCAGACGTAGCTCAAAAGAGAGAAAAAAACCTGATCTAGAAGTCTTACCAGAATTAAGCCTGCGATGCTCAAATCATGTGCAGAGAGAGGACGAGGTGATTTATCACGTTGTTCAGGTCCTTACTCACAGGGAGGATACTCAGTTGTCAGGGGATGTTCAGTCTTACAGACAAAAACATAATAAGATTTCAGAAAGCTGAATTTAGGGGAATGCAATCTGGAACTGAGATGCTGTTTTCCAGCAGTATTTAGTTGTTGGAAGTGCTCACGAGCCGTGGCAGTGGGAGCATCACCTGGAATGACCAGGACAAGGCTAGGCAACTGCCTGAAACATACACTTCAGTCAGTCTGAAACATACACTTCAGTCAGGCTTCTGGGGAAATTTCTATAGCCTGGAACTGTCTGGGCTCAGAGTGAATTGTCCTTGAGAACTCCCAGCTATATATTCCACAAAACTGTTACTAGGGTTGAATTTCATTCATATCAACTCATTCACGTGTGGAATCATCTGGGAGAGGTTTTCATGTTGTTTGCCATTAGAAAATAAGGATTCATCAAAATTAGAATATTAGGCAAAATACTACAGGTTTGGGGGTTGAACATGCAGAAGGAAGTTGAATAATGGATTAATTGCAGGGATCTGGGAAGAAATCTGATGAATAAATGATGCTTTTATGTGGAAAGGACTCTTCTGTAGGTTTGAGCTCCTAAAAATGGTCTGTCATGAGCATGTGCATCATAAGCTTATCAGGGGATGTGGGGAGGAGCAGATTGTCACCTCTGGGAGTGGAATTATGGCCCATTCAGGGGTATATCCCTGCCCCAGTGCTTTTGTAAACCTGTTTGAATTTCAAAAGTGTCATACTGACCTTCTCTGCCTTAGGAAACTGGAGAAGGTTCAGCCTCCCCTAAATCTTCCTTTGCCCTAAGGACAATGTTTCTCTGCTAATTAAAAATACTCTCTATAGACTTTAATCTCTTTGCTCCCAAATGCAGAGCCACCAGCAGGCACTGAGAGTTTCCAGCTGGTTTAAGTGTGTCTGACCCCAACTCATTTCTGCAGCTAAAACAGTCCCTGGGCCAGGGAAAGGGCTGGAGAGTACCTGCAGTGGAGATCCCAGAGCACACAAACCTAGTCTGTCCCCATGGAAAGCTCTGTGCTTTTAGTCCATTGAAGGGATGAAAAGGCATCTGTGTGAGTTCAGAGGGGGAAATTTCAGCTAAGAGCAGAGCAAAACCAGTGAGACTTTTGGGAGAGCAAAGCTCCAGATGGACAGAGGCTTTGGTTAAGAAAATGGATGTTCATAAATACTTTTTCCCCTTTTTTTATTGGTTCCCATTTACCTTGCAGGGCACTTGGATTTTATAGTAGTCATTACAGCAGGTTCTGAAACACCCACATAGAAAATCTGTATCTTGTACAGATGTTTTTACAAAGTTTGTTGTTTTTCACAGAGGGAACAGTGTTTTGCAGAGCCAGCACTAGGGAGTGCCTCGTTCCTGCACTAGTTTGATTTCTCTATCAAACACAGTAATAAAACATGGAAAGAAATCCATATTTCTTTAGAAAGATTCATGCTGAAATCCAGAATTCCTGTGTTCCTTGCAGGGCCCTGAGTTCCTTTCCTCCCTGTGTAACACTGGAAGCATTCCCTTAGGGATAGGCTATTTAATGCTTTCCATCATTGTCCATCCATGTGGAAAGCAGTTCCCTGATGCCCAGGTGTATAAATAGCACAGAAAATGGAGTTTAGTGTAGAATTCTGCTGATGAAATCAAAGAAATAAAATCCAACTTATTTTTCCTTATCTCTGGTGCTGCTGCAAGCCTCAAAGCAGTATGCAGCAACAGAAAGAATTGTCTTCTAGCCTCCTCCATGAGCACATACAATTCTCAGAGTACACACAGAGTGGATGTAACAGGCAGAATTATCTTTAAAAGTATAAGAAATATTTAACTTCATCTTCTTCCAAAGCTGTCCCAACATGCTGAGTCTTCTCTGAGACCAGAGCATCATCTTTCTTGAGGACATGGCAGCAGCACCTGCTTTGCACAGAATACAGGGAATTGCTGCTTTCTTAGCTGTAGCATTTGGATTCCACAGCTGAGTTCTGCAGAGATGGTGGCAATAGCTGTGCTCACACCTAAATAAGGCTGTACACAGTTACTTTTCTACACCTGCATGGATTTGTATCCCTGATGGCCATGGAGGTACCCTGTGGGGCTCTTCCAGGGGCTGTGCTGAGCCAGCAGCTCTCTCTGACTCCTTTCTCCTTGTCTCATTCCAGTGGCCCCCAAGATATTCCGCATTTCCAGTGACATCATTGTGAATGAGGGAAGCAATGTGACCTTGGTATGCCTGGCCATGGGCAAGCCTGAGCCTTCCATCTCCTGGAGACACATCTCCCCGTCTGGTAAGTGCCGACGCCATCTCGGTGGTGCCTCACCCAGCAGGGTTGGGATTTGGGCACTCACAGGCCTTAAAAAGTGTGCGTCTAACTAGAGCTTTGGAAAATAAAAACTTCTTCATATTTGTAGTGAGATCAGGGCAAACTGTGATCCTAATGTAACACAGGACTGAAGACACAAGGGCACCCTAAATATGAATGTATATTTAAGCCTGTTTTAATAAGCTGCAGACATGGATCAAAAAATTCCAGTTAAAATCCAAACAGAGATATAATCAGGAACACACAGGACTCTCCAGAAGTCAGCATGAATGTTAAACACATGAACACATCATGCAATAGGTTTGATTTACTGTAATTTATTTTGCTGTAACTACCAGCCCATGATTGTGTTAGGAACTGCAGTGACGGGACCAGAGGTAACAGGTTCAAATTGAAGGAATTTAGGTCAAGAAATTCTTTACTGGGAGGATGGCGAGACACTGGAACAGGTTGTCCATGGAGGTTGTGCATGTCCCAGCCCTGGCAGTGTTCAAAGCCAGGTTGGATAAAGCCTTGAGCAGCCTCGTCTGGTGGGAGGTGTCCCTACCCAGGGCAGGGGAGTGGGGCTGGATGATCTCTAAACTCCACTCCAATCCCTAAAATTCTATGATTATATGATTCTTACCTCAGTGTTGTATAACACACACATGGGAAGAGCTATTTAAATTCGCTGAAATGAGGGCTCTAAAATTCTATGATTCTATGATGAGACCCTTGGGGTGTCCTGTGCAGGGCAGGAGTTGGACTCACTGATACCCATGGATTCTTCCAGCTCGGGATATTCTGTGATTCTCTTCCAATGAACTGTATGAATTCCCTGATACAGCACAGTTTGTCAGAATGGTTTTATCAAATGAATTAAATGATATGTAGGAAAAGTTGCCAACAAAATGGTAACTGAAAGTATCACTTCTATCTGATATTTCCATTTATACCTTTAATTCCTCATAACATGTTTAAAGGAGAAGCTTTGGGTAATGTTATAGGCATCTCTGCACTGTGGCTTGGTGCAGAGTCACTGGAGCTGCTCACTGTGAGCAGCACAGGGTCTGTGGGGAGATCCCTACTCCCTGTCTCTGAAAATGAGGATGGATTTGATGCTCCTATGAGAGGATACTCCCAGCTCCCAGCTGACTGTGGAAGGCAGGACTAGCATTGCCCTTGTTCATTTACAGGGACTCTACAGCCAGAATTGATTTTGCAGTGAAAGCTTTGCTTTGCTCCCACAACTGGTATAAAACGCATGTAATTGCAGGGAAGAAGGGTTTCATGGACTGTCACAGCCTCTCATAATCCTGAGTAACAGTTTGCTTTACAAAGCAAGAGCTGAAAAAAACCCGTCACTTTTGACCCTTAAGACAATGACAATGAATTCAGCTTGAAGTGTCCATCAAGGGACGGGAGGAAAAATTCGGTCGTAGCAAAAAATGGATTTTAACTAAATATCAAATAAAATTTTATTAGAAACCTTGGAGCTACTTTAGAGGAATAGCTTAGAGCATTCAAGGGGCTGCAGAAAGGAGCAGGACAGTGATCCTGGAGAGGGATGAGGAAGAGGCAGAGCCTCCTTGTTTCAAGTTCAGGCAAAATGAACATACGGCACTTGAGGACATGGGGCAGTCATGGGGGAATGGTTGGACTCAATAGTCTTGGAGGGCTTTTCCAGCCTTAATGATTCTATGAAAATTACAGCAGGTAATTAGAAGGGCTTGCAGTGACCTCCCTGGTTCTGTGTCTTCGAAGAGCTGAGGCTGAGGAAAGGTGTGAGCATCCAGCTGCATATCCATGACTGCCATCACAAGGAGAACTGAAACTGGGATTTGAGGCAAACATTAACCAAAGATCTCATGGTACAGGATACTCAGGGTACTCTTGCACAGCACAGCAAACTGTGGGCAAGCAGGACGTGTTCTCACCACTGAAGGTCTAAGGGCAGGCAGGTACAGCCTGAGCCTTGTGTCCCTTCCCATGCCCATTCCTGGTTCACTCTGCCTTCTCAGCACTTGGAAGAGTGTATGAACAGATTCACAGAATCCCAGGCAGGTTTGAGTTGGAAGGACCTTAGAGCTTTTTTAGTTCCACTCCCTGCCATGGGCAGGGACACTTTCCCCTAGCTCAAGTTGCTCCAAGTCACATCCAACCTGGCCTGGAACACTCCCAGGGATGGAGCAGCTGCAGCTGCTCTGGGCAACCTGTGCCAGTGCCTCAGCACCCTCACAGGGAAGAATTTCTTCCCAAGCTCTAATCTAAATCTCTCCTCTTTCAGTTTATAGTGCCTGTAGAAGACAGAACAAGGCAAAGGTGAGAGATTGGGCAGGGACAGCTCCCAGGGGAAGGGAGTTTCTCCCTGACTGACCCAGACATGACAGCTCTGCAGCAGGGCACAACAGCCCAGGCAGAGATGCTCTAATGAGCCTCAGTGCTGAGGCCTGGCAAACTCATTGCACACGTGTCACAGAGCTGTGTCACCACAACAGCTGTTTTTCCTGAGCACTGAGCACAGAGGCAGAGCACTGGGACATGGCACTCAGTGCTCTGGCCTGGCTGACAAGGTGGTGATATGTCACAGGTTGGACCTGATGATGTTGGAGGTCTTTTCCAACCTAAATGATTCCATGATCCTGTGCCTTGGGTGTTCCCTGATTGATTAACCAACACAACTTGGTCTTGAGTGGGAGAACACGGGATTCAAATAGCTTCTTGCTCAGAAATCTTGCACAATGTGATGAAAGAAAACACTTGATTTGCAGCTGGTGTACCAACCAAAGGGGAATGTTCCCACCCCAGTGAGCCCTGTACCCTGGTGTGTCCTGGGCTGCAGCCCATTCCAAATGGCATTCCCAGCCCATTAAAGAGCAGTGGCAAACACTAACCCTGGATTTATTAGAAAAGAAAATGCAAGGGAGTTGAAAACACCAGATTTCCTTAGTGCTTTCTGTTCTGCCGCAGCACCTCACCTCTCCCCAAACATCAGCTTCATCTGCACTTTCTCATTTCTCCCAGTTCCCCCTGTAACTCCCAGTGGCACTAATGAGGCTCCCGGGGAGGCGCAGCTCCAACCCTGCGCTAAGTTATATTAACGAAGCATATTTAGAATACTCTCAAATTGTTTGTCAAAGCTGTTGCTAAAAGATAAGGAACTGAAATCTCTGAATACAAATGCTTCAATGAGGACTAATTCCAGGATATGATCATGATTTGCATCGAGGTCGGATCCAATTTGCTTGGAACAAGAGATAAATTGAACCTTTTGGAGGAATAGGAATAAAAAATGTATTCCGAGGTGATTTTTAAAACTTAGTCTGTAAATCACTGGCCTGGAATCTTTATTGTGTATGTTTAACTGGCAGTCATTATGTAAATGCTCCCATTATATAAATATTCATTACACAGACCCATTATGCAAATGCAGCGAATCTCCCCACTCAGCGCAACTCAGGCTGCAGCCTGGAATCTGCAGATCTCTATTGTTGAATGTCACTGGAATAAATTGCAGGTATTACTTATTTTGTTCTGACATTTCAGAGCAAAGTGCAGCAGCAATAGTTTAAGAGTGGAACCAGAATGTTAAGGAATGAAGCTTTGTCAGGGACACAACTCCAGCTCTAGCCCTTGTGTGCGCAGCGTGTGTGTGTGTGTGTGTGTGTGTGTGTGTGTGCGCCACATTAATGGTTTGGCAAAGCTCTGCTGGCAGCAACCGCAGCTAAAAGCACCAGGAAATCTTTTGATAAACTCTTCCTGCTTGGCAAAATTCCAGTGCTGTGTGTCAAAATCCTTTCCACTTTGGTTTTGACAAAAGTTTCCAAAGAGGGTCTTCCCTAGACATGGAGGGAGTGGGATGCTCTGGGATACAAAGACAGGACATGGGGGAATGGCTTTAAGCTGCAGGAGGGGAGATTTAGATTGGATGCTAGGAAGGAATTCCTCCCTGTGAGGGTGGTGAGGCACAGACACAGATTGCCCAGAGCAGCTGTGACTGCTCCATCCCTGGGAGTGTTCCAGGCCAGGTTGGATGGGGCTTGGAGCAACCTGGGCTAGTAGAAGGTTTGGCAGGGTGTGGAATGAGATGAGCGTCAATGTCCCTCCCAACCCAAACCAGTCTGGAATTCTATGACTTTATAATCCCTGGTGACTTCTAATTCCGTATCTTCTACTTATCCCCTTCTCTCTTGCCTTTTTGTCACAGTTTTATCCCCATTATTCTCAGCCTAGTTTCTAGTTATTTCCCCAAAGCAGGAGGCTGAACTGGCTGTAGGGATACACATGCATTTGGAAGAGCAGATTTTCAGAAGCTCTGAATGTAGCTGAGTAAAGACATTTTCCCACACTGAGTGGATGCAGATCCCTGGCACCAGGACCTTCGCATCCTAGTGCCAGAGAACGGTGACACCGAAGCTTTTCCAACATAACCCAACAAACCCCCCAGAAAGCCCTGTAAGAACAATATAGTATGTGCAAAATACCAGGTGTTTCACCAACACCGAGGAAAACAGTGTTAGTGCCAGGCAGAAAACAGTTAGAAATGAGGCTGAGCTTGGATTTGAACATACTCACGTGACAACTCCTCTCCCTCTCCAACTCATTCCCTTTGCCACTGGGACACGTGGGCAGGAGTGTGATAGGATTGAAGGGATTCTGATGTCCAAGCCATTGCTGCTGGACAGCCCTGAAGCTGTGGAGATATATTGCATTAATGTATCATCCCAGCAGAGTCAGCCTGGCCATATATTAGTGCAATACATCTTCGGAGCTCTAGGCCTGGGGAGAAGGAACCTCCGAGCCACTTCGATTCCATTGCAGACAAAGGCAGTGCTGGTCCCTGGCCAGGCAGGACCCTTCCCCAGTCCAGCTCCTGCAGAAGCCTCATGTACTTCTGTCAGGGAGAAGCAAAGAGGGTTTTCAGAAATTCTGCCTAACTCCTGAGAAACAAACAAAGCTTGATCTGAGCCAGTCAATGTCAGAGA